AGTAGAGGTATGCTATTAACTCCTTCATCTACAACTGGCAAATTGAATTCCTCTGATAATTTTGGTATTTACATATTTTGTCATCGACCATTTTCGACTATTTCACCAAACAGGGTAGTTTAGTTCCAATAATCCAATAATGGCTAAGCATGACACCACAGCATGCTTGTATAATCTATACTTTGGTTTTATGTAAACATCATCCTGAACAAGCCACATTAATTTCTGTAAAGGAGGATGGAAATGTACCATTCTTCTGTTTTATACTGCATTTTGAAGAAATGATTTAAATTTGGGACCTGCCTTCTACAGAACGGTAAGCACATTGAAAGCTACAGGACTGCTTACACTGATGCACATACTCAAAATATTGAAAGTCTGTGGAGTTTTGTGAAATGGTGCAATAAAGAACACCACTTATCTTCCTATTTGAGAGAATTTATGTAGTGCCTAGTTCACAAAGAAGACAGTTTTATTGCTCTTTTAAACTCCATTACGGATTTACTATTGCAGGAATGAATGACAATACTTTTAACCCTCCAAGGTTTACGAATGTAAAATTTTGCATTGGATGGCTTTCCAATTCTTTACACATGAAAATTTATGTGAGCTCCTGATGTATCCAGTTTCAGATTGGATTTACATTGGAAGAAAAGGAGGCAAGTTGTAAAGTGAGAAGGCCAGTTTAAAATTGTAATAAAGAAAATACCACTTTTTTATGAGATTTTGGGGAACTTTGAATTTTAGGGCCAAACTCAATGCTCAGAGGGTTAAATTGTTTTCAGCAAATAATCTCAAAATGTAGCTCATATTTAGTTACGTTTTTTAATGTCATATTTAATATTTATATATATTATATGCCATATCATAAATTGTATCTGTTAATTATGTAATTAAATAAAATATTATTAGAGACTCAAAGATCAATATTAGAGGAAATATTTTTCTCAGTTCAAATACTGGCTTATGCTGATGGCATTAGCATTATTGCCCAAACTGCACAGGCTCTCAAACAGGTGTTTATAGCATTGGAACAAAGTACTAAAAGAATGAATTTATTTGTAAACAAAAACAACAGACTTAAAGGGGCTGGCTATCTGGCTAGAATGAAGTTCCTTGCTGCAAGAAAATCTTTCTGTGAAATAGACCTCGGGGCAGACCCCTGCTAAGATGGATTGATTGTGTTGAAAAAGATCTTAGTATTTTAAAGGTTAAAAACTGGAAAACAGTTGCCAAAAGTAGAGATGCCCAAAGAGGGCTGGGGCTCACTCAAGGGTTGTTGAGATATTGAAGAAAAAAAATAAAATGTGATGTTTCATTCTCCAGCCAAATAAAGAACAATTCATTCCTTCAAATTTCCACTGAAATGGTAGGCATAATTTCAGTGGGATCTTTGTCAGTTTTCAAAATCAGCTGGAAAATACTTAAGTACCATTATTTCTCATGGTTAGGCTTAGCTATCTGAATATGGCAAAACAAATGAGAGCTATCTGCCTAAAGGGAAGGATGCCTTCATGGAGGACTTTGCAAGTGATAATTTTTTTTTCTTGAATAAATGTGCTTTGACTTCTTGCACATTCTCTAGATTCACTCTCTTTTCTTTAAAATGCGTAATAGATCAATTAATTTGTTTTCTTTAGCACTATGTAAGCAGCTAAAATTTAAACTAATATCTGTTGGCATTGCTTAGTTAAGCAGATTATTCTTATTCTTAATTCTGTAAGTTTTTGGCTTAACGCTGAGGCTAAAGTTGAATTGCAATATTAACCTGGTCATAAACTTTTTGTGATGGTATTATATTTTTCAAACATCAGTAGGGCATCACCTGCAACAGCCTAGATGAATTGATATCAACTTTTAATACTTTTTACCAAAGCAGGTTTTTAAAATAATAATAGCTTTTTGGTTATTATCTTGAGTGAGAGATAACCTTGCAATTTGAGTTTCAGCATCACTAACTAAATATGTTATTAAGTATCAAATTTCTCTCCATCATTTTGAAATTCATTATTATGAAAAGTAATTTTATATTGGGCCCAGAAATTAGGCCATTTTTCAAACAATAAATGCGGAAGTTTAACCTGAGTTGAAAAATTCGAGATAGATAGTGTTAAGTTAGGAAACGGTTTATTTTTACATGGCATTAGAAGATATCTGTTTATGCATATTTTACATTTAAATATTTGTTTATAATATTCAATTGATGTTGCATATTTTTCTGAATCACATTTGGAATGTCTTTCTTTCCATCTTTAACTCTGCAAATCTTGTTCTTTTCTGGTTAATAATGAAAACAATTCATCTATTGGTTCTATATTCAGGTAAACAAAGTTAAACAAAACAACAGTTACATTTCTCTTTTCTCTCTGGTTTTCGATGCAGCTGTTTTAAATATGTGCTATTTTTCTTTCTTTCATTCATTCTTCTGCTATTCTTATTCTCATTTTTTAGTCACAAAAGTCTTATAACAATGAATTCTGACTTGATTTTTGACTCAAAAGTCTATGCATTTTGTTACACAAGTAGTAACTCAACTCTAAGAATAAAACAATAAGACTTATTTAGTGTATGCCCTCGGAATTATGTGGCTTACCACCTTCAACTTCTTAACCGTATTCCATGATGTGAAGAAATATAAAATGTATTCTGAAGAGGCAGGATCCAGAGGTGCCACTCTGACAATAATAATTCATAATAATCCTGGATATGAATTGTCACTTTTCTAACAATTTTTTATTACTGGTATATAAATCACAAGTAATTAATAAAATTAGTGTATTAATTGCTAGTAGTACATTATAAAAACTTCAGATTGTAATGTTCAGAAACGTGAGCATTCAGTTCCTAACTACAAATTTCAAATACTTAATTTCCTGATTTGCTGGGAAATTTATTAATTGGAGAAAGCTTATAAATGCATGGAAGCATCTTAAGAAATTTTGCATCTTTATAGTACAATTTTTATGCCGTTTTCGTAATTCAATATTCATAACTTTCAGCTTATAATTACAGATGCTTTTGCCCTCAATCTTCCTCTTGTATGCTGAATATTTTAGAACAGGACACATAGAATTTGTTTCTGTTGTAGGAAAGATTTTATTGCAGTACCTTCAGTTATGCTTGAACTATGTGTTCTATTTTCATTAACCCCTTAACTGTCATGGGTGTAATATGCCTTGCTCCAGCTGGTGCATTAACTGCATATATACACACACACCCTTCTGAAATACTATTATATGCTTTGCACTGCTGTCATTAAAATTATTTGCATAGATTTGGAATGCCACACCACAGTGGCCTTGACAGAGTATGCGAAGGAGGATACTATTTCAGAGAAGAGGGGATGGAATTGGTGAGGGTGAGGGGGATGTTTTAGAAATGGTGAAAGTAATGACTGCGCGGTTGTCGCTCAGATTTCTGTTTGAGTAAAATGTATTCTTTTATTCTGTGTTTTCCAGTTTTTGTTTACTCTCTGTAGTAGGTACTTTTTGTAGTACGTTGTGGTGAAAGTAATGACTGCATGGTTATTGCCCATGTTTCTGTTCGAGTAAAACATACTTTTTTTATTCTGTGTCTTCCGTTTTTGTTTACTATTTGTAGTAGGTGCCAGGAATAAAGAAAGATATAAAGAATATTTCAAACTCACTTATCTTTTTTGATGACCTGTATTGTTACTGAAACTGACCATTTTGCAGACCAGAATATGAACCAGCTTCCTCCAAATGAAAAATCAAAAACAAAACCGTAGCATCCAACCAGTTCAGAAGAAATGTATGTTCTTTTAGGTATACTGATTTTACAAGGTATAACACTGAAACCTGATATTACACTTTACTGGTCTAAAAATAAATTGATCAAAACTCCATTTTTTTGGGATCTTTTTATTATACTTACATTTTTATACTTTTACTCTAAGCATTAAATTTTGTATTTTCATTTTTTCTGTTATTTTTTATTTTGTGAAAGTAAACAGTTTTTAGGCAGCAAAAGCATGCACTTATTTCTTCCTAATACGTCACATAACTATGCACACCTGTGTAAAATATGTGGGGCACAGAGGAGTGAATCTTTTACGTTTTCCACAACAGTTTAGGGGTTAATATTTCAAGGTTCCAAAAAAAGTTCAGGTTTTTCCTTTAATGTACTATTTTGTTTATTTAAAAAAAAATTGGAGGTATTTCACTTATGAATGTGACTCTGTTTTGCGATAATTAGTCATTGAGTGCGCAGTAGATCTTTTACGTTTTCCACAACAGTTTAGGGGTTAATATTTCAAGGTTCCAAAAAAAGTTCAGGTTTTTCCTTTAATGTACTATTTTGTTTATTTAAAAAAAAATTGGAGGTATTTCACTTATGAATGTGACTCTGTTTTGCGATAAATTAGTCATTGAGTGTGCTTGCATTCAGTCTTAATTAAATTTAAAAAAAAAAAAAAAAAGCACAGGAGATCTCTGTAAGACCATTGGGAAAAATAAACAAAATAATAAATAGTAATTAATTGATATTAAATAAAATGTAATTAGCTAAATGAAAATTAATAAAATTAATTTAATCATAAATAATAAATTAAAATACTAAAGTTCATCTTGTTTCGGTCATCTGTTTGGTCATTAATGACGTTACACGAAAATTTAGATGGCTTTTTAGCTCTGGTTGAATTTAAGCTATACATGTATTTATTATTCATGCTTAAAAAGCTTTACTAGTTTGAAGGGGAAAAAAAATTGAAGTATGTGATAGTATTAAAGTTGTATTTTTAAGTTTTGAGTTAATTTAAGGTTTAACTCATTTATCTTTTCTTTGGTATCTTATTGCTGAACAGCATGCAGCTTATATCTTGAGTTATGATTAGACCTCTGTGGTTAGGTTGAACTCTTATTTTCATTAATATTGTTTATATTTATTAATATTTTCTTTAAAGTCAAAACTATCCATTGAACTGCATAATTAGGCTATAAAGGGAAGTATTTGCATTTATTTCTAAATTAATACCTTTGCAGATTAAGCAACAAAGTCAAATTATAAAAAGTCTTCAAGAAGCTCTTGTGCAATCTAAGCGGGCATTTGATGCAGCATATCCAAAGAAATCTTTATTTCCTGTGAGTTCTAGCTCGGATTTACAGACTGCAGTGGGGAATTCTTCTAGGAGTTCAATTGTAGATATATAATACTTCTTTTGTATATGTTATTCAAAAAACATTCTATGGCAGCTAGTGCTGTATTGTTATAAAGGAGCTATATCAGAGTGTATCATAACTTGCTAAAAGGCAATTGTAGAAATTATTTTATTATATTTGTACAAAAAATTGTGTTGTTATAAAAATACATGTCTAATTACTTTCCACTGCTTTAGAAGTGTTATAATTTTATATGAATATTAATATTGAAAAATAATTTTTCCCACTCACAAAATGTATGTCATATTGTTATTCATAGCATTCTTTTTAATGAATGTAACATTATAGAACTGATTTATGTTGTGCTTATTGAAAAGAATTGCTTTTTATAAGTGAAATAGTTTTATGGTAATACTGTGATAAAAACGCTTTGAAATGTAAAGGTTCAAATGAAACAGAATCTAGTTTAATTTTGTTTGTTTATTTGCTAAACGTTTGCAGTCTTTCTTTCGTATTTCTTTATGCTGAGATAAAATAGTGTGTTAATGTATTTTCAAGTTGTTAATTTTTATTTTGTTACAGCTAAAGGAAAAAAAGTTTTCTCAATGAAAATTATTTCAGCTGATGCTTAGGAAAGGAGGAAAAACTGCAATATTTTAGTTATTGTTTTTAGGAATTTTTATAAGATTTTTATAAAAATAATACAGCTAAAAACACATATCTTATATGATTGTAAATTGTAGATTCTTTCTTTGTTTTAATGTTAAATTAATTTTCAATGTTTGCTTTACATTCACATATTCAGTTTCTAATATTTCATAGCATATTGTATGTATGTTTAAAATTTATGCAGTCAAAAGTGAAATGAGATTTTAAAGAAGATTGTATCTGAAAATTTGTTAGAACCATAGAAGAAAGGATTGAGATAGGTTTTATTATTATATATGCTATTTATTAAATTGCTTTTGAATTTTTGTTTATTTTATTTTTAGTTTTTATTTCCAAACATCTCAGATAGGTGTTCATGTTTTCACTAGAAGTTCTGCTTGTTGACAATGCCTAATACTTTGTATTTATTTTCCATGTTATGAAAGCATATTGCTTAATATTGTGACAAAGTGGATTATTTAAAAATTAATTTTATATGTACTTTGTAATAACATATTGTAGTAAGTGTTATTTTACACCGTAAGTGTAGTAAATGAAAATGTTTTGTAATACCCTATGTTTTGATTGAAAAATTTGTGTCTTAGTTATGTGCACAGTAACAGTAGACATGTAGTATTATTATTTGTTGTGCACATTATTATGACAACAGAATTTTGCCGTATTAATATATTCTCATTTAAAAGCATAATAAAATCTTACCTTGCACTTTTTTTTTTTTTTTTGTAAAGGAAAGGATATGGGAAATGTGCAGAAGTGTTTAATTCATTGCGAAGAAACATCCACCTCTCTGTGCATCTGATTAACTGACCATGTCTATATTAATCAGCACAGAATCAGATAAAAAAGTATGGGGGAGTATATATTTTTCACTAGTAAGCCTGATATTTTAAGTTTAAAATTTTTTCTGTTTGTGGTGCCTGTTTTGATGTCTAAGTAACAGCAGGCATGTAGTAGTATATTTTTAAATTTGTTGAAATTCAGTTCTAAATTGTTTGAGACCAATATTTTATGAAAAATTGCATCTCAATGAAGAACTAGTTCAAGAACTCTCTTCTGCTGAAGAAAAAATATTCTTCAATTTTAGAAATTAAATGTTCTGATTAACTTTTGGAAATTATTTATGCAAAATTCTATTAGTATGTATTAAATGAAAGGAAGTATTTGTAAGGGTGCTGAGTTAGAATGTGCTTAGTATATTGTAAATATGATGTAAATTTCTTGAAATGTAACCATATTAATTGAACTGCCTGTGCACAAAATATTGCAGGTATTTCAGTCTGACATTTATTTATCAAACTGAAAATTAAATTATTCATTTGAAAAAAAATTAATTTAAAATGCAGTAAACTACTTTTCATGGAATGTCTTTCATTCTTTCATAACTACTCTTAATTATTAATTTATGCTCATAACATGCACTAACATTATTTATTGAACAAATATAATTCATATGTAAATATCTCTTTAGCAGCTCTGTCTCATTTGCTTAATGTCTTTTGAAATTTATAGTAAAATTTCAGATGTAAATTAAATTACTTCGCAATATATGTTAAATTATCATTTTATTGTATAAAATTTTTATATATTTTGTAATATTTTATTATACCAATTGGTTACTGGTATTAACTTATTTGTTTACAGAGAACATTTAAAATGTTATTTTCTATTCAAATTATGTGATTCTTAAAATTATAATTTGAATATGCATTTTGTATTAAAATTTTTCTGTAGAAATATGATTTTTCCTTCATATAGCTTATGTGCATTTTTTCACATGCTTTCACTATTTCTGATATAGTGCTGCTTCTTTCTTCAATATCTAACAAAGGAGGTCTGTCAGCATTTAACTGTCAATTTTTTTGAAAAAAACTATGTATGAATCTGTTCACCTAAAAACACATGGTAATTGAAATATTATTTGCTAAAATATTGTAAATAAGTAAATAGCAATTTGTAAATTATAACAGTGTTTTTGATGCAGTGCTATTTGACAAATTTTCAGAATTTAGTGTAAAGTGTTATATTTGAAATCGCCAGATTTCTTCTCAGTCCATGTCTATTCACACTTTAACAATGATTAATGTCAAAAGATATATGATGTTTTTGTCAATACAAACTTATTTTTAAGGCAGGAAAGATATCCAAGTTTGAACAGTGCTGACAGCATTTAGTGAAGTTCTGAAAAAGTGATCTTTTTTGTAAGAATGTGCATCATACCACATATGTTTTGCTATGCAAATAATATCTGTTTCATGCAGGGGCCGATTAAGACGGTTGGGATCGTAGGTACCGATTTCATTCAGGGACTCTTAATAGTTACTTTGTTTTCTTAAGCGATAAATAAATGATAGACTATTATGAGTTAGAGATAATTTTTGGCCTCTCTGCCATGGTCTAGCTGGTAATCGTGCTCTAGATTCATGTGATAATCAGTAAAGTTTTTTGGAATTAATGTAATGTATGGATGAAGTATAGTGAAGAAGTGATCAGAGCGGGAGTATATTTTATAATAGTTACATATACCATATTGAAACAAAGTATGAGATTGAGTATAATAAAAAAAATGCAGTCTGCATACCAAATGCTGATCAACTGCAGTAACAGTTTGCTGTTGTATGTTTGTGAGTAACTATTGATAAGCAGGCACCATCCTAAGTAGGGCATAAGCAGTTTTAAGGATTTTAAATAAGGTGTAGATTGTGGATATGCTGAAACACTAAGAATGAGATTTGAATAAAGCATTGAAGTTTCTTGTATCAATTAGAACATTATAAATTTGATCGCTATGAAAGCAATATGTATCCAAAACAAATGTGAAGGATTCTGCTGATTTAGAAGTACATAATGTTTAAAAAATTTATCTGAAACAGTTTATTGCTGAAATAGCTGAAAATTGAATATGTTGCCATATTTTGTGCAATAGATTTGAGAGTTTTCTAAAATTATCTATGGCTATTTAACAACTGATTGTAATCAATTTTTGGGGGGTTGTGAGGAATGATTCAGGGTTGACTGTATTTTTTTAAAACTAGTCTAGCGTCAAAGTTGCAGACCTTGCTTGTAAGTGGCAGATAGCATAAATTAATGTCAAATCATATGACATGTATCTATGACTTCAAATTGTTGTCACTTTCTATTCATCTATCTAAAAATATGGATAGAAAGAAATGGTTAGCCTACCGAGGTTTGTAATACATGTGTGTATACAAGCAGAAATGCAGTGCACTCATTGTTTATTAAAAATGTATTTTTTTATCAATGAATATTTTAATAAGAGATATAAGAAAGTATTTTTGTTATTAAACCTCATACAGCAAATTTGTGTAAGAGATAAGTCTGTTTGAAAGTTATGTATATTTAAGATTAGGTCAGAAACCTGCAAATGCAGATTCTGAAATGACATTTGTATTTATCACAGTACTTAAATGAAAATGAGAATGAAAAATATTCAATAAACTTGAATTTATGTATATACTAAAAGTAAGTAAAATATGAAAGGTGGTAGTAGTAGTATTAGACTGTCTTAACTGATATGTGGTCCGACAAAGTATTATGTCCTGTTATTTCGCTGTGAAAATAGGGTTTTGGTTTTGTAACTTGAAATTTTAAAAGTGCCTTTTAGAAGTTCAATTGTAATACCTTTAAATGTTTTTCTGATTGCATAGTTATGATGGAAATGGTTTTATTATTTAGCTTTGAAATATAACAAACTTCCAAATTCAGAAGGTTAGTGTTGAAGGAAAGTGTAAAAGAAGGATGGTGTAAAACCTTCATACACAGCTGCATTTTCTTCACAAATCTTAAGTACCTAAAATTTCTATAACTGCCAGAAATTTTGTGCCAGTTGCTTTATCATAATAAGGATATTAAGAATACAAACTATGAAAATAAGGGTTTAGTTCCAGAGGAAGGTTGCCATATAGTATTAATTTGTTAACACTATTTCAGTATTTGGTTGTGGGATGCACTATTGTAATATTATTTTATTGATCCAGTTCTATCATCTGTGGCTGTCAACATGCCTGCGCCAATCCTAATCGGTGCCATCATGCCAATGTCTAGAGAGCACCTTTATGCAGTGACGATATTAAAGAGAAACTGCTTATGGTTAACACTTAAAGTGAAGTATTATTAACATAACAAAAATAAAACCCAAAGATTACATTTTCTCTTTTAATCTTTCTAAATGTGCAAACATTTTGTAATTTCTTAAAACCCGCATTTGTTCATATTTATTGAAGAATTATACATTATAAAAAAATAACATTGCAAATGAAGCGAAATAATATGCTAAATGTATCGGATAACAAATATACTGCTCACCACTATTTATTTTTTTTAAATTAAAAACAAAATTTACATATCTAATAAGTCTGCACCGAATAAATTGTTGTTCGCAGCGTCGTTTATGACAAGGTTCGAACTGTGATTACAACAGGGCACAAAAAATGCTCTAGGGTTGATGTTCAAAATTCTTTTCTGCCTACCTCTATGTTGCAATGATATAGAGTTTTAACTGGCGATGCTACATATTTTCCAAAAGTTTGTAAAAACTAGTTCATGTGCAAGATCTATACTATTTATATCGTTTTCATTTTTATTAATGTTTTTGCAGTTTTTGACATAAGCTGAGCTGAACTTGTACTATATATAAACGGAAATATGTGATGCCGATGTGTATGTAAGGGTAGACGCATTCAACAAATTGCTTAATCTGTGTCAATTCGACTAACTGCTGTCTACTGTTGCAGTTGTAGTAATTTATGTAACAATTATTGTTTTCATGATTTTTTTTTGAAGTATAGTTACTTGTTATGTTAAACTTTAGGTTAGCTTTTTAATTGGGAAAAGTGATTTGAGCATAATTACTCAAAAAACATTTTACATGAACCATTTGTTTATTAAATTAAAAATTATTAGCTTTCAAGGGAAAAAATTGACATATTATAGAATAACACTGAGTTTATAATATACCTATTTGAGATTTGAAATGAAGTTGCTCTGAAATTACAAATTGGCCATTTTCTCATTTTTAGCTGTACCGAAAACCAAAGAAAACTTAATTGTTACTCATTACGTCTTAAATACATACAGTGCAAAGTCCGTAATCTGGACACTTCGGTGATTCCAGATTAAGGGTTTTTCCGGATTATAGATCATCAGTTTAAATCTGGTAAGATGGCATGCAGAAATTATACAATTAAAAATATCGTAATTTATGAAATAAACAGCAATTATGATTTAAAGGGTATCAAAATTTACAAAAAAAAAGCTTAATATTTATTTGTTTAAGTTGCTTCATTTTTTGTGCTAATACTTTCTCTTTAATTCTATAAACAGGCATAATTTCTTGTTCAGTTACAAAGTTCCATTTTTCAAGTCCTGTAATTGCTGTGTCGAGAATATCCACTAACTTGTCAATCGAAATTTTTTTGTTTTCAATAACGTTCTCTGTTACTTTCTTTCACTGTTGGAAGCGCACATGTGTAAACGCTTTACTGGCTTTATGTGCATGTATAGCAGACGCGCGCATCAAATACACATGCGTAAACGCTTTACACGCATGCATAAGTTTGTGGCTTTGAGGTCCGGATTATAGATCATTTTGGATAATGGACGTCCGGATTACAGACTTTGTAATGTACTTTAAATTCGATTTATTTATTTTAATAAACAAAAGTGTACCACTATCTCCTTGAATTATTTGGTATTGATCTAGTAGTTCATATTTTTCCTAGCAATGGTTTAAGATATACTCAGTTTTTCAGAAGTAAGGTATAATACTTCAAGCAGTGACTTTCGAAGTCTTTTTAACAAGAAGTGTTTCTCGCAGTGGTTCTTATGATAGTTATTTTCTACTTTTATTTTTACTTCCTCTTTTTCTGTTTTCATTTTTTACCAGATGTCGGAAGAAAAACAGAAAAAAAACTGTCTGGGTATCAGAATTTATTGAAGAAAAGAAAACGAGAGGAAGACTGAATAAACCAGAACTGTAAATTTACTTAGTTTTTCCAAAACCCAGAGAATACCCAAGCTGATGCTATCAGCACTAGTGTCCATCAGTGTCTCAGCTAACCACTGAAATTACAGAAATTGTTTTCAGCCACAAATTACCATTAACTTCAATGCAGCCGGTCGAAATAATAGTGAAATCTACAATTTCTGCAGTAGATAAGCATATGAATGTAAATTTTTTGAGATTTACTTTTTGTCGAATCTTGCCAGACAACGGAAATGTTAAGAGATTAGTTGCTAAATTCTGTTTATTGTTTTTGTTGCAAAATTTGCATTTTTTTAGTAATGTAAAATTGAGTAGTTCTGGATTTGATGACTCGAACCACTTAAGTGAACACTTAAAATGTCATGAAAACAGTAAAATGCATTTTCAGAGTCTCTATCTTTTGTCCTATTTCTTAGAATGATTAGGAAAGTATGAAGTTGTTGATTCAGAATTTCAAAATTTATTTAAAAAAAAAACTAATAACCATAACAACAAGCAATCAGCAAAAGAAGATCACAAAAAAGATAAATGTTGCACAAATTACTACAATTGCAACAGTAGACACAAAATAAGGATTAAGCAATTTATCGAACATGTCTACGGTGCCTGCGTCTACCCTTACATACGCATCGACATCGTGCATTTTCATGTCCATTAAGAGACAAGAGAACACCAGAGACGGTTTTCTGCCTAGGTTTTAACCTTTCCTTCAAATAAGACAGTGCGCTAGGAGGAAGGGGCTCCCAGACCTGTTAAGCTCGAGACTGCCTTAACGCAGGTAGACAGACCAACCCCTAGAGGAGATCCAAGGGCCACTAACCTATCGATCGGGCAGACTAACTAAGCCGAGTCGACAAGAATACTCAGCATGCATTCCACGTTCCCATTCTGGAGGAATGTTAAAAACATCTGCCATCAACAAGGGCTCCAACTTCGGAGAGCAGTCACTTAAACACTATCAGACAGGCCGGGCCACCAATCCGGCCTGCTTACACTATGTCATGGTATACAGACGTCGGTTCCAGGCATCTCTAGGGGGCAACAAAGGAAGGACATATGCAGTTTTCAGCCTTCAGGCACCCCCTGAAAACCTCAAGTAGTCTAAAGGCTCGCTGAACTCGCCACTTCTACCGACGGGGATGTTTCTCCTCCGAACAACCATGAATATCTGACTATGTAGCTCCACCACAAAAAAACAGAACTAACAAGACAGTACCATATGGTCCCTGCTGACCCTGAACCAGCCATCGCCAGCGGTGACTCTAGTCCTGTGAAGACCTATTTTATACCCCTGTAATCGAGACTGCCTAGGTGCAGATCATAACCAGTAGCATCCCAGGTTTTACCTGAGTTGACCCCCCCCGGGCAGCGTTCAAATAAGACAGTGCACCAGAAGGAAGGAGCGTGCATAAGGCAGCCCTTTACACGGTTAAATCACCCTAGTCTGTGGAGGCCATCTGAGGAAGCGCCATCCCCCCCCGGTCAACGCAGGGAAACTTAAATATTTCACAAAGAACATGGTCATAGTTAGACATCAACCATCCCCCAGTTTTGACCAACGGAGCCCATCCCCCAAGGGCAATCTTTGATATCTGACTATTTAATGCCTCCACAACCAAGAGGCAGATAAGACAGTACCGGTATGCTCCCTGCCAAGCCTGAACTTACCACCGAATAAATGATGGTTGTAGTCATTGTGAAGATAGTTTATTTATCCCGGAAGTCGAAGCTGTCTGATATTGATCTTGCCAGTCCCATTCAGGCAAATCTGGCTACGAGTAGGCCTATGTCAGATTAGGTCAGCGAGAGACTAGAATTTTCCTATTCGGACAGGCAGCAAAACGTTCTGCTTGTTTTAATGACTGCCCGGCGCCTTTTTGACACGGCGCTGTCGTTCACCGCACGACCCTGCACCTATTCTCGGCGCGGGCTTGGCTGTCAGTCATGTAAGAAAATGGTTCATGTGGTACATCAATTTTTATTAGTACAGTAGAAATTCTAGCACACTTACACTGTATAAAAGTATTTAATTAAGCAAAACAAAATAGTCAAAAAATCATGCTAGGAGAATTATTATTTAAAAATGTGTACTTTTTTTGTCAAAGAAATCAAAATTAAAGAAAAGTTCATATTAATAAATGATAAAAAAACTTCAAAAAAATATAAAAATTAAGTCTGTGTGGTATTATCATCAAACTAAAAATGAATGTTTATTTAATTCATACGCTTTCAAAACAGAAATTCTGATATGATAAAAAATATTTTATTGCAATTTTAACTTACTTGAATAGTTTGTTGTTTTATACATAGTAAAGTCATTGCAGTGGCTTGTGATTTGCTATAAAATTTCTAATAATTACTTCACTTTTGTTATGATTTATAATTAATTTAAGATTATAAGAGCCCATCTATAATAGCACTGTATTCATAGCAAATCACATTTCTGAATAAATTCATTATCTGATCTCAAAAAATGAAATATTTATTTATTCACTTTTATCACATT